GCAAATACCTGAACCTCACACCTTTCTCCCCGCCTCATTTCCAACTTAATTTTTAAATGTATGCTCCACATTGTTCCTCTTTTTCCCATCACCACAACAGGCCCCTTCCCCTTATCACCACCTCTGGCATTCTAGCAAGCAAATGCACATTGACGCACAAGGTCATCAAACAGATATTTCCATTTAGATGCAGACGGCAGCCTTGATGTAAAGTCTGTTTGCTGACAAGATTGTGAGCCCCTCAATGAAGGATACACTTCCCCAGAAGCAGTGAGACTCTAGACTAAATTCACCTTGAGAGAGAATAACAAAACCAGTCCAGTACCTTTGGAAGAGGGCTGCTTCTATAATACTTAATGACAAAACTCAGTAAGCTTTCTGTTAATCAATGCCAGCAGTTTCATTTCCTGGGATTCTGTACAAAGCCAAAGGGAAGGATTTTCCTCATAAAGTAACTGCATAATATATTATATTGTAATAATTTAATAGAGTAATGACATTGCTTTGATCTTGACATTTCTTTAAAAGTTTTGTTCCTTTCTGAAAGAACCCTAGACATTAACACAAACAAATGACTTGCTTTGCTCATTCTTTCACAATTTATTACATGTAATTATTGGAGTGGTAAGAGCCAGATTGTTGCTAAAGAACAGCTAAGGCGAAATGTTCCATCATTTGTGAAGAGAGTTGTGAGCTTTTATGCTTTACTTTAAATTCATCATGTCTATTTGAGATAAGTGGAATGATATTGATCAGACTTACATAATCTGTAATCTTCATAAGTTTCAAATTAAGAAGCAAAACAGAGTTTAATATTGCCACTTTCAACAATTACATTGAGATGGTGATAATTATCTTATTCAGACTTATCAATTGATATGCCTGACACAAGCTGAATAGGTTTTATTTTTTAAATTCTTTGCTTTCTCCTCCTAAATTAAATCCTATAGAGCTGAGGTAGGATTTGCCATCTGGAAGCATCCTGGAATCCAGGACAGTTGCCTTTAAATCCTGATCTATGGACTGGATGTGTGGGAATTACCCAGGAAATTTTTCTAAACAATGCATTTACCCAGATAGTAACCCCAGAGGGCAATGCACAACCAGGTGTGGGGACCACTAACTAGAGTTTTCCAAGAATGTTTCCTGAGACAAAGTCTGATACTCGCCCCAAAAGTGTTACACTCACAAGTAAGTTTGGGAAGCACTGCATATTGTATTTACTTCAGTGGTTTATAGTGTAACTCATCATATTATAGAATTTTGGAAGTTCTTCAGCAAAGAAACCAGCTTAGCCCAACATTTCCCAAACAAGTGATAGGTGACCGTGGAATCCAATTTTTGCATAATAACCAATCAAGATTTTCCCAGGATATAGTTTAGGAGAAAGTAACCTGCTGCAGATTTTTCAGCAAGGGCTTGGTAGGGAGTTCCCCCTAGATGTGTCTCCAGGAGTGGGGAAGAGTGTCAGATATATGTGTTTATGAAAGAGAATGTGAGTTTATTAAGATTGAGAAACACTGATCGTGAACAACTACTATTTACTTAATGTCTACTGTGTTTCCAGGCACTGGGTTGGGTTCTTTTTACCTGTGGATTTACTAAATCCTTAAAAGCACTCCCACAAAGTTGTTATTTATTTTTATTTTTATCTTTTTTGAGATGGAGTTTAGCTCTTAATGCCCAGGCTGGAGTGCAGTGGCACAATCTCAGCTCACTGCAACCTCTGCCTCTTCCCGAGTAGCTGAGATTACAGGAGCCCTCCACCATGCCCAGCTGATTTTTTGTATTTTTAGTAGAGATGGGGTTTTATCATGTTGGCCAGGCTGGTCTCGAACTCCTGACCTCAGGTGATCCATCTGCCTTGGCAAAGTTGTTATTTAAAGATGAGGGGAATGAGGCTTTGGAAGGAAAGACCCCTTCGCAACTGTGACCAACTGTGAACTCTGGTTCTTTAACTTGTGCTTAGTTGTGGGAGGAGAAGAAAGTGAGACCTGGGGGTAGGTAGATGGGTGAACTATTAATAGCTGCTGTTAAAACCTTCATTTTACAGAAAGACATTCATCATGAAAATTATAAGCTGTACATTTAATTCTGGTTATAGTGTTTTTGTTTCCTGAGGTTTTTCAAATTGTGCATCTTCCCACAGGTTTTTGGTAGCTGCTATCACAAAAGTCAGGGTATTGCTCTATTTAAATTGGTAAGATTTTAAATAAAATTACTAGCACTCTTTCTCTCTATCACTGATCAATTCTTTAGACATAGTGATCTTTGTTTACTTCAAATTAAAGTGAGAGGCCAACTGTTCTTGGGTCGTAAGTAATGACTCTCTGTGAGTCATGATGGGTGTCCTTGCAACTTCTGAAACAATAAAACAATTTTATGTCCTGTGTGGAATGTCCTGATCCAGGCTGTTTTACCATTTATTTTACTACTCTTCAAGGAGAAGAGCCCAGGCAGGGGACGGCAGTTCATGCCTGTAGTCTCAGCTCATTGGGAGGTCAAGGCAAGAGGATTGCTTGAGCTCAGGAGTTTGAGACCAGCCTGGGCAACATGGCAAGACCTCATCTCTATTATTTAAATTTTTTAAATTTTAAATTAAATATATATAAGTATATATATGAATGTATGTGTACCTGTGTGTGTGTGTATATATGATAATGAGCCAGATTGATTCTTTTCTCAACAAAAAAAAAAGAGTATATTTTTCCCTTTGGGTCTTAAGTGTGATCCTCAATTGTAACATTATATAGCACTTTTTAAAATTTGCATTTAAATGGTCATATTAAGTATATACTAGTTTAAATGTGTCATATATATATATATAATTTTTTTTTTGAGACACAGTCTTGCTCTGTCATCCAGGATGGAATGCAGTGGCATATTCTGGGATCACTGCACCTTCTGACTCCCTGGTTCAAGTGATTCTCCTGCCTCAGCCTCCCGAGTAGCTGGGATTACAGGCACGTGGCACCACGCCCAGCGAATTTTTTTATTTTTAGTAGAGACGGGTTTCACCATGTTGGCCAGGATGGTCTTGATTTCCTGACCTCATGATCCTCCCATCTCAGCCTCCCAAAGTGCTGGGATTACAGGTGTGAGCCCCTGCACCCAGCCACTTGTAGTTCTTTAAAAAGTAGCAACAAATATGACACTTTATTGACCTTGAGCACTACATATTTGGGCATTTCTGAAGCCCAAATTGCATTATAATTCCTCTATGATTCAGATCAGAATATTCTAAAATCACATATATAAGGACAAAGATGATGATCACCAACTGGATACTACTTGGGAGTCCCCCAGATTTTTTTAAATGGCTTTTTTTCTTATTATTAAAGCAGTGCTCATTTATTGTAGAAAAATTACAGATGGAAAAATAAGTCACCTATTACTGCATCAACTATCATTAGCATTTTTGCTTTCCAAATAGGACCTGCCAAACATTTTTAATTGCACATATATAATTTTAAGCTCTGAAACGTCATCTATGTCACTGAAGGAGGAACACATGCAACGCTGATGTGAAAGCCATAACCACTTGTAATTAATTATAACATACTGCCAAAATGTGAGCAATAGAAGCTAGGTAGAGTTGGTCAAAAACCTTTTTCCCCTCTATGGTTCAGGTAAGTAGTAGAGTTAAGCAGAACCACTTTATATCTTATAATTCAAGTTTTGAAGGTAATGCGTTCTCACAATTTTAAAATCAAAATTAGACAGAAAAGTAAACATTGAGAAATATCACCTACCACTGTCTTCTATTCTGTTCCTTCACCTGCTTCCCTGTGGTAATGTCTTTTATTCATTTATTGGGTTGGAAATAAGAATATGTCATCCCTATATAGACAAAAAGTTGTATATTCTATACATTCTTCTGTACCTTTTCCCACTTAGCTTTTCCCAGAATTCTTCCATATGAAAACATAGACAGCTGTGTATTTTTTTCATAGCTACATGGTATTTAGTTCTGTGGGTGTACCATAGTTTAAATGCCTTGTTCTTTACAGACCATCTTTTGCTTGTATAAACAGTGTTATCGTTAATACTCATGTGTATCCATCATCTTATATATGTAGATGTAACTACAGGAAAATTTCCAGAATTAAAATTGCAGAGTCAAAAAATAAACACATTCATTATTTAATCAATCCTGTCAAATTGTTCCTTGTAAAGATCATAGCATTTCCACTTCTGTCAGTATGTATCCCCAAAGCCTCATCATTATTTTTTATTGGAAAAATTCTGTGTTTTTTAAAGCAAATACCACTCTAATAATAATGCTGGCTTATTAGAATTTATATCCTCTGAAACCAAACCAATGATTTAATACATTATTTTGAAGTCAGTATAATTATTTATTGTTTATTAACATGGAAAGGAGCCATGGCACAGATAACCACATTGGCAGATAATTCAGTTGTAGTTCAATTCAGCTTTGGAATATGTTGTGACTTTTTACCCATTAAATTTTCTTTCCTAATGGTGTTTGTATTATAAAACATTGTTTAACACATAGTTTTTAGTACAAATTGGCTCCTGGTGGAAGACGGAGGCCAACAATTAGAAAGAGGCAAGTGTAGGATGAATTTTTTTCTACTTTATCTCTGGGATAATGTGATATTTTATTTTGTTTCTTTGAAATATCTGTATTATTTAAAATCTTTATGATGTGCTCAAATTACTTGTGTAAAAAGGTAGATTCATACTTGCTGATAAAGTCCAACACAAATACAATATTTCATTGTTTATTTTCACCCCTAGATGTTTTCACCCCAGGAGAAAGAATATTATTTTAAGTAGCACTAATTAATCAATTAACATACATTTTAATGAAATTAGTTCCAACATTAAAAACTGTACCTCACCATCTATCACTTACACAGTAGAGAAGCCATATTCAAATAATTGAGAAGTTATGGTTGTGCTGGCCTCGGTGCAATCCTCTGGGGGGTCAGCTGCACAGAGGTGTCTGATTCAGTCTTTTTCTCCTCTTGCAGCATATTCCTCAAAGAGCTGGAGAAGTATGAGCAGCTGCCTGAAGATGTGGGACACTGCTTTGTTACCTGGGTAACCAACCTGAAATCCTCCTCCCACTGCCCATACATGTGGCACCACTCTTCAGTGCCTGACCTGAGGACTGGTGTCACTGCCAGTCTCACACAGGACCAGGGGCTCCTGCGAGAGACCATGAATAGATCTGAGAGAAGCCTTGGGAAAAGTTCTTAGACATCAAGATTAACCTCCCTCTTAAACTGTCTAAGAACTTTCTAAAATTGTGAGATCAGAAGAGTGGCACAAGGCCAGGCGCGGTGGCTCATGCCTGTGATCCCAGCACTTTTGGGAGGCTGAGGCGGGCAGATTACCTGAGTTTGAAACCAGCCTGAGCAACATGGAGAAACCCCATCTCTACTAAAAATACAAAATTAGCCGGGCATGGTGGCACATGCCTGTAATCCCAGCTACCCAGGAGGCTGAGACAGGAGAATCACTTGAACTCGGGAGGCGGAGGTTGCGGTGAGCCGAGATCGCGCCATTGCACTCCAGCCTGGGCAACAAGAGCAAAACTCTTTTAAAAAAAAAAAAAAGAAGAAGAAAAAGAGTGGAACAAGACTATCACTCATGGCAGAGGAGCTACTGCTCAGTCCATTGCTATTGTTACAGGATTCGGATTAGGAAATCAAACCTTTAGGAAGCCACCTAACTGTTTAAAACATTTTGTTATCTTTAATTTTGTGGATACATGGTAGGTGTATATGCTTATGGGGCAGACTAAATATGTTGATAAAGGCATGCAATGTGAGATAAGCACATCATGGAGAATGTGTGGGGTGTCCATCTCCTCAAGTGTTTATCCTTTGAGTTCCACCTAACCATTGGTTACATTTTCTTCTTTCATACAGAAAAATGTTTTTTGGGCATCCATCCCAATTCTGACCCACAAGATGAGTGGTCAGCCTCCTTCATACTATTGTCATGGGCCAAGGAAAGGGGCTGACTATACTAGGTTCTAATTATACAAACTGAAACATTAGTCTTCATTGGCTCTCCACTCAGAACTCAGGCTCATGTACAATATATGAATGCAAATATCTCCTGCGAAGTCCACTTAGGACACTGAGTGCAAACATGGAAATCCCCAAGGTCAGGTGTTCTACTACTTAATAATTACCTGATAATAACTTCCACTCATAATGGGCTAATTACCTTTCAAAGTGTCTTCATGATTCAGAGGCTTTATGTTCTCAACAGCCCTATGTGGTTGGCAGGACTATGGTTTATGTTTTAGATTTTAAAGATGGGAAAATCTCAGATGAGAAAAGAGGTTGACTAGTTCACTGACATGTAATAAGTATCACAGCCAGTCCCACAACTCAAGACCTCACTCCCAGACAAGCTTTTTTTCATGAATTCTTAATGCTTGCTTTCAAGCACTCTTGTTTCTTCAGAAAGCTCAGCTACCATCTTATTTTGTTCTAGTACATTTTCTACCTCTAAATAGATGAACCAATGCAAAGCTCATATTAAGGCTGATAAATAATTTATGATTCCTTGCACAGCCAACATAATGACAAGATTGACCCATAAGTAAAGGGGTACTTTTTGCATCTTGTTTCATGAAATTTGTGGATTTCCTGTACAATCAGTCATAAGAATGATTTATCATCATCTCCTCAGGTTGACGAATAACCTCCTAGGTAGTATACAGCCCCGAAAATTGGTTTCAGAAAATTTTTGTGATTGGATAAAATATTCACCTTTTGCCAAGAATTATCCCAAGGTGACTTTCTTAAGTCTCATAATCTTAATATATGAGTGTAATGTCGAAATGAAGGGTAGAAGAAATTGTTTATAATGTATTGAAAGAAAGTGGTTAAGACCAAGAAGGCTAAAGTCAGATACCCTGCTTACTTAAGTGACTTCGAATTCCCACAGTTAGCTGGTAGGGCTCTGCTCCCTGCTAACTGTGGGAATTCGAAGTCACTTAACCAGCCTGTGCCACAGTTTTCTCATCGGCAAACTGGGGATAATAATAGAATTCACTGTGTGGAGGTCTCATGAGGACGAGATGAGTGAATACATGTGAGACTGTTAGCACAGTGCTAGCATAAATGAAGTCTGCTGTAATAAACACATATTTGGGCTTCTGTCTCAGAAGAGGATGCAAGCACAAAGTTCCAAAGGCTCTGAGATGAGTAGCATTTTACCAAATAAGAAAAGCATTTGGTGGCCAAAATATACATGCCTTTCCCAGTAACCTTATGGCTGGGTGAAAATTCATTTCGTATTTTCACCCAGCCATAAGGTTCCTGGCTTGAAGTAACAAAATCTGGTTAGGAACCATTGTTTAGCCTCTGCCCCAGGGGGTCACTCTGATCTCTCTCCCCTCACCCACCCCCATCATTGCTCTGGGAAGTTCGGGATGGTATCGTTGCTTAACATGTCCCTCTACCTCTCTCCAATGGAGACATTTAGAGCAGATCTACCTCTGAGAACGTACTTTATCTTCATTATTTGTTTTTGTATTCAGAGCAAATGCTGTCTTTTTTCAAGATGGGGAGCACAATTGTAGATAATCTAAAAAAGGGTAAAATCAGTAACTAAGTTCTGTCCAATTTCAGAATAGATCAGGATATATGAGTTGCTTTTCCTGCTTCTTCCTAGCACAAACTAGTATTAAAATGAGCTCAGTTTCCGAAGCTTTTTCTACATGCTGACAGGAGAAGGACATTTCCATGTTTGTTAGGGGACCATGGGGACCGGATGAGCACAGAACATTTGCCATAGAAAATCTAGCCCTTGGTATCTGAGGGTTTTAACTGTACGGTCCTTGCTGGGGCCTTTAGTATTGTGGACAGAAGGGATCAACTAATGTATGCTTATCTGTTACTATCTTTTTTCTTTTTAGGCAGACAAATTTCAGATGTATGTCACCTACTGTAAAAACAAGCCTGATTCCAACCAGCTTATCCTGGAGCATGCGGGCACCTTCTTTGATGTAAGCTGTGGTTTTCCATTTTTGAGCAGCTGATGAGCCGGTGAAATGCTTCTCTGCTTTAACATAATGGATATTTAGCTATCCTTTGTTCCTAATTTTTCTTTACTGGACACTCCAAACCTTAACCACGAAAAAAAAACCCAAAAATGGTATATGCTTGTATTTTGTTTTACCCCATCCTCTGTCAACCAATGTGATTTTTGACGAGGCAAATTTGTCTCCATGCCTCCACACCAAACCTAGGTAGCCATAAAGCACATGTTTAGAGCAGGCCCACTGTGATGCAGTTGTCGACTAATATATTTCACTTCTGCTTCATATACAGCTCTCACAAACGTAGTGTTTCCAAAAGTGTGATCCTTGGACCTCAGTCCACATCTATTAAATCAGAGTCTCTCGGGGGGAGCCCAACAACTGGAGTTTTAAGGAGGCCTCTGGGTGACTGAAGTCCACTCAAGTTACTTCTCTGATGCAATTGTTTTGACTTTGGCTACACATTGGAATCACCTGGAAAGCTTTGAAAAAAACTAATTCCTGAATCCCATGCCTGAGGTTCTGCTATGATTGGCCCAACTATGGCCTGAGCATTGGGATATTTTAGTTTCTGGTGAGAGTGATATGCAGCCAGGACTGAACACTTCTGCTATGATGGAAGCCAAGAGAAGAGTGAGGCTGGTGTGCCTTGTCAGATCTTTTGGTTTGGAATGATGATACAATCTTGTTGGTGAATGGTGAGATCTGTCTATCTAGTGCTGGTTCCCAAAGAGAATGATGTATTGGCTTTACAGTAAGCAAAATCAAAGGGGCCCCTGCAGGATTCAAAGGATGAATAAGAAGGAAAGATGAAATTGGGGAAAAAAGAAAGTTTAGTGAGAGGCAGACTATAGCGGTGATGGCCATTTTGGTAGTCATATCAGAAGTGACAAACTAGAAACTTAGAACTTCTTAAAGGTTATCTATCTTTCTGCCTACCTTAGTAAGAGAGGCAGACTGTAGCAGTGACAGCCATTTTGGTAGTCATATCAGAAGTGACGAACTAGAAACTTAGAACTTCTTAAAGGTTATCTATCTTTGTGCCTTCATGTTTTCATTTTTTTTCATAAGTATTTGGATGTCCTCTGTATGCAAGGTAATGGGCTAGGCCCCATGGAGAATACAAGACATTTAAACAGGGTTCCTGTACTCAGGTGTGCAAAAGAAACCTTCCCTGAGCATCTTTCTAGCCTGGCACTGCCTCAACAGAAGTGATTCTACAAATGTCTTATGTTCATTAAAGAAATGACACTCTAATGAGAGAAAGCCAGATGAAGAAACACACATATTTTTTTAATGGAGCATTAATGTGGAAATGGCTCTATGTGTCCCACACTGGAGTATCTGGGGTTAGATTTGGTACCAAAGAAAAACCCAAGAAAAGTACTTCTTTGGCCTGATATTGGGTATCATATTGGATGCTCTATACCACCATTACTTCTGATTGAGAATCTTTTTCCCTTAGGATGCGGATGCTTCTGTTGATTATTCATGAACAGTATCCAGAAGGTTCTTTCTGAAGTTTTAAATGTATCATGACCTGTCTTCCACTTAGCACTTTTCTGACATGCATGTCCTGTGTTCTGAGCGTGCCTCAAACTCTCCTGCTTCATACCTAAGATAGATTGTGTGCCCTCCACACCACACACACACGCACACACACACTCATATACACACACCCTTCTTTATCTCTCTCTCCTAAATTCTTCCTATTCTTTAAAGGTCACATGCTGCTTCCTGCATGAATCCTTTCCTTTGTACTTTGTATGTTTGTTATAGCATTTGTAATAATTTTCCTTTGGGCAGGTTAGCAGTGTACCTTTTTATTACTCATTATCTCCCTCCACCTATGAGTTCCTTGAGACTTTATGCCTGATTCATATTTGTAAAAATCTCAGTGCCTGGCACTAGACTGTGTTTTCCCTTAGTCCTACATGCCTCACGTCTCCATTTCTAGCCAATTTCTAGGCTTTGATAAGTTAGGTATATCCCCAAATTTCCTACCCTGTCCCCCATTTCCAATGTAGTGCCTAGTGAACCTCTACCTTAGTTGGAAAAGCTGATGGAAGCCAGAAAAACAGTCCAGTAGGAGTTCTTCAAGTCTTCCCTGGAAGTGGGGAAGGAGGAGAGTAAACTCTCCCATTGTTTTCAAAACTTGCCAAAAGGTATAATATTTGCAGCTTATTTTCATTTCATCAGAAGAGTTTCCCTAATGTCTACATTTAGGAACCATCTGCTTTAGGCCCTCATTCTATAAATGAGATAAACCCTTAATAAAGGGAGTCTCCTAATATCCATTACTGTAAAGAGAGCACAGAGAACTGAAGTCCTAGAAAGCGTTACACATTCACATGATCCAGAACATTTGACCCTAAATGCGAGAACAGCGTGGGTGTGATGTCTCAGTTTGGTTTGACTGATGTAGGCCCCTTCCTTGCGGCTCCACATGCAGCCTTCCTGAAGCTGGGCTTCTCATCAGAGAGGGAAGAGCGTCAAAGGTGCATTGTTGCTTGTGCTGTCTTGCCAAAACCCCCAGATAAGCTCACAGGTTCAGTTGCCTGAAGAGAGTCAAGCTGCAGCTGTTTTGCCCATCATCCTCAACAAGTCTTGTAACTACACACCTCTGGGGAAGAGGCAAATGGTGACAAAATTACTGCTTTCTGGGATAGAAATAACTTCTGATAGGAAATGGAATAATTTTTAAAATTATTCTCTCTCCTTTACTATTCTTCATAGCATATAACAAGTCCTATCTAGTCCATCTTTAAAATATCTCTTTTTTGGCCGGGCATGGTGGCTCACACCTGTAATCCAAGCAGTTTGGAGGCCAAGGCGGGCAGATCACCTGAGGTTGGGAGTTCAGGACCAGCCTGACCAACATGGTGAAACCCCATCTTTAAAAAAAGAAAATATCTCTTTTATTCTACCCAATGCTTTATTCTCACTAATTCTAGCTTAGAGCCTACCCCTACATTGCATACCTGGACCTATTTTAAAATAACAGCTTTATTGAGAGATGATTTCAGATATCATACATTTCGACCATTTAAAGTACAAATTCAGTGGTTTTTTATGTGTGCTGGCAGATCTGTGCAAGCATCCCTGCAGTCAATTGTAGGGCACTTTTATCACCCCATGAAGCAATCCTGTATCCTTTAGCTCTCACCCCTCAGCTCTCCACCACAAACTCCCACCCCCAAAAAACCAATGGTATTTACCTGTGTCTCTGCAGATAGATCTGCCTTGCCTGGACATTTCATAAAAATTGAGTAAATACATGTTCTTTTGTGACTGGCTTCTTTCACTTAGCATAATGTGTTCAGGGTTCATCTATTTTGTTTCATGTATCAGGACTTCATTTCCTTTTATGTCTAAGTATTATTCCATTGTATGAATATACTACATGTTGTTTTTCCCATTTATCAGTTGATATATATTTGGGTTGTTCATGCATGGATATATTTTATTTCTCTTGGGTATATACCTAGAACTTGAATTGCTGGATCATGTGGTAACTTTATGTCTTTACACCTGGGCCTTTGCAATACCCTCATAACTTGTCTCTCTATCTCTCATGTGTTTTTTTCTTTTTGTTGTTGTTTTTTGTTTGTTTGTTTTGAGACAGGGTGTCTCTCTGTCACCCAGGCTGAGTGCAGTGGCATGATCATAGCTCACTATAGTCTTGACCTCCTGGGCTCAAGTAATCCTCCCACCTCAGCCTCCCAAGTAGCTGGGACTACAGGCATGTGCCACCATACCCAGCTAATTTTTGTATTTTTTGTAGAGATGGGATCTGACTATGTTGCCCAGGCTGGTCTTGAACTCCTGGACACAAGTGATACTCCCACCTCGGCCTCCCAAAGTGCTGGAATTACAGGCATGAGCCACCATGCCTGGGTTGTTTTTTCTCTTTAAGATCTGTGGTGCTTTATTGAAAAAATTACCATCATATCTTAACTCTTTCCTAACTCAAACCCATCAATGACCCAACTTTGCATATCTAACTATATTTTTTCACTTCTTATAGAAGGTGGGTGTTCATCCTCTGTACCATTCAGTTGTGATCCTCAACATCACCTAACCATACAATGATTATTTCAGCCAGTACATTTTGTGTTTGATGTGAGTAAATGTCATTCTTCTAATCTTTTACTTAACCCACCCCCTCTGCCCACATCACTTCTAAGCCCCAGGTGAGGTTGAGGCTTATCTCTGCTAACCACCTGGTCACTCCCAACCCCTGTAACCTCTCTCTATTTTTATTAGCTGTACAACTTCCCTTATTGTCGTTTGTTGATCTCTAGTTCATGTGCGTTGAGTATTCTCACCTAGACTGTAGGTTTTTGAGGGCAGGGACAAAAATATACCTTTCTCTGACCCTTATAACCCCTAGATTTTGGGGAGTGGAAGATTATTTTGGAGGTAGGTTAGAGAGTAGATTAAAAGGAGAGACTAGAAGCACCAACAGCAGTTGGAGACCATGGCCTTAGCCTGGGAATGAGTGATGAGGGTGATATCCTTGGAAATGGAAAGGAAAGATTTGTCACCAGAAATAACAGCGGAGAAATTACTAAAATTGACTCTGTGATTTCTAGCTTAGAGACCTGAAGAATGAAGTAGGTGCCATTGATCACAATGAAACATTTATAAGAAAGTGATGACCCTAAGTTGGGTGTGTTAAATTTAAAAAGAAGGATGGTATTAATAAAAGAGATACATCTTTGTGCTATTTTAAGGAGACTGAGGGCAGGGAAAGGCTCATCAGGAACCATCAGAGTAGAAGTTGAAGCTTCATTCTCTGCCTTCCCTGTACTCGCCCCCCTTTTTGAAGCTTATTTCCTTTCACTCCTATTTCATCTCTCCTTACCTTCCACTCTGTTATTTACCTTATTGCTCTCTTTTCTATTCTTTTTCTCCATTTTTGCCCAATTTCTATTTGTTTGATGCACTGCTTCGTTCTCTAACCTTTCTCCCTTTTTACTCTCTCTCCTATTTTCTCTCTACATGCATCTTGGTCTCTTTTGTTTCTCTTTTTACTCCCCTCTCCCTATCAAAGATCGTTTTCTCATACTTACCTACCTTTTCCTCTTTCTTCCTCTCTTCTGGTTCCTGCCTCTCTCCTTTCAGAACACACACACATGCACCTGCCCCTCTGTGTCTAATTACATCTTGTTTTCATCCCTACAGGAGATACAGCAGCGGCATGGTCTGGCCAACTCCATCTCTTCCTACCTAATTAAGCCTGTCCAAAGGATCACCAAATATCAACTGCTCCTGAAGGTACCTCCCCTCTCCTCCCCTTCCCCCTCCATTGCCTACTGCCTGGGCCAAGGGAGTCCCAGCTTTGGCCCCTAAGGATGGGAATGCTTCCGCCTGAAGACTTTTCTTCTACCTAGAGCAGCACTTCAGCCCACACTGGCAATGCTGTCCTATCCCATGGAATTCCAGATGCTTCTTTTAAGGCAGAAGAGGGAGAAATGGGAGCAGGAATAAGTGTGACCATTTTCTCATCTACCTACCACTGCACAACTTACAGCAATTGCCTTCTCAGGCAATGGCTGGCCCCTAGATGCTTTCTTGTCCCTCCTTCCAGAAGCAGATTCCTGCTGGTAGCCCCTGCTTTTGATGAAATCAAGGATCAGAGTCTGGCCGGGCACAGTGGCTCATACCTATCATCCCAGCACTTTGGGAGGCTGAGGTGGGGAGATCACTTGGGGCCAGGAGTTTGAGACCAGCCTGGCCAACATGGCAAAACTCCATCTCTACTAAAAACACAAAAAGATTAGCCAGGTGTGGTGGTGTATGCCTATAATCCCAGTTACTCGGGAGGCTGAGGCAGAAGAATCACTTGAACCTGGGAGGCAGAGGTTGCAGTGATCCAAGATTGTGCCACTGCACTCCAGCCTGGGCAACAAAGTGAGACTCAGTCAAAAAAAAAAAAAAAAGGCTAAAGGCAGTGCTAGTTTACCTGGGTAGTAGAGGCCAGGGTGGCACCTACCATTGCCTTAATCTCTGCATTTGTGAATGTCAAAATGATGTAGATTTTGAGGGAAAATAGTCAAAGGGTACATATTAAAACACAAGGTATTCTTATATCTATAGGTTCTCACATGTTAGGGGTTCTTCTGGAGCCAACCAAGAGATTTGGAATTTCCTTCAAAATATTTTCTTTAAAAGTGAAATAACCAAATATATAAAACGTTAAGTAATTTGGGTTGATCCTTCTTGTATAATAACGCATTGATGCACTGAAAATAATGTCATTTCCACAGAAAGCCTGGGGGATTGACACAGGTAGTTAAATAACACCCATCTATACTCTCAAGGTTTAGGGGTAGAGTTTTCCCTCATTTGGAATATCCTGCTGGTTGCTCCTTTAATGCAAAGATAAAGGGATAGTAGGGGATATGTTATAAGTACATTGTGTAATTTCAGAGGAAAACTGATGTAATTCAGCTTATGTTTAGAGATGCCTGCAAAAACTTAACTAATCTTGCTTCACTGAACCTGAAAAACAGTTTAATTTCAAATCCACCATTCTAGTCATACTGGAGTGACTCCACCATTCCCAGCCCATGTAATCTCCCTCGCTTAGCACTTAGGGTTCCATGATGAGAGGCGTGAGGGCAGCAGAGAAGTGAAGGTGCAGGAGCCTGTGCCCTGGTGGGTTTTTCTGTCCTCTGAGTCAGGGTGGAGCCATGCACTATCATTTCCCTTCAGCGTCTTTTCTCCAATTCTTCTGCTTCCTCATCTCCTAGAAGAGGCTACAGGCATCTGCTTCCAGAACTCCAGCCATCCAACCCTGCAGAAACAGCTTAAAGTGTTACAATCGGATATCACACCCTCGGCCTCTATGAGGACTAGTGTGAGAAAAGAGTGTGCAGACATCTCAGCTGTTCAGGCAAAACTGCTTTCCCTTCTTTGTTTTTTGAAATGTCTTATATAAAGACTCACAAGAAATTCTTGTGAGATCTCAGGACAGAGGTGTAAGGAATCCTCTCTCCTGAAAAATGAGTGCCCTTTCTATTTTTAAATGACAGATGCTTAGGCCCTTGTTTACCTATGGCTATTCGAAAGTTAGCACTGAATTTTGTGGTTGGTTACAGCAGACTCTCCTTAGCTCAAATTTTGCGTATAATTGTCTTCTTTCGTGTTCCACTAAATGCTTGGACTTTTAAAATTATTTTAGTTGGTCGGGTGCGGTGGCTATGCCTGTAATCCCAGCACTTTGGGAGGCCGAGGCAGGTGGATTGCTTGAGGTCAGGAGTTCAAGACCAGCCTGGTCAACATGGTGAAACCCCAAAAATTAGCTGGGCATGGTGGTGTGTGCCTGTAATCCCAGCTACTCAGAGGCTGAGGCATGAGAATTGCTTGAACCTCAGAGGTGGAGGCAGCAGTGAGCCAATATCATGCCACTGCACTCCAGCTTGGGCAACAGAGTGAGACTCCATCTCAAAAAATAATGAATAAAATAAAAAATAAAATTATTTTCCTTGTGCTAATAGACTTTTAAAAACCATAAAAGTTTTTATGGTTTTTAAAGAGAGCTATGCCTCTAAGGCCACAGAAGTAAATGTATGTATCCCAAAGGTTTTTCAAGAATTGGTTGGGTTGTAAATTTAAAAAGAAAAAAAAAAAAAAAAAGACAAACTGATGCCGACTCACCTGTCCACACTGCTAGTGTCTTACATCAACTAAGATGCATTTCTAAAAAATATGGCTTTTACCTCTCCCTTGAATCCTGTAAGGTTTAAGCCCCCTAGGATGAGTTACATGGCACAGACAAGGGAGGGAAGTTGAGGACGGAATAGGCTTGTGTTTTGCTGAAGGCAGTTGAAGGGTTGGGCTCTGGACCTTTGTTCTAGAATTGAGTGTTTTAAGGAAGAGGTGCCTACGGAGGCTGCTAAGAAGTAGAAAAAGTGGCAGGATTTTGATTGTGAGGAAGTTATAAAATTATTTTTTTTTAAGAAGATAGGCTGGGCTCAGTGGCTCATGCCTGTAATCCCAGCACTTTGGGAGACTGAGGTGGGTGGATCACTTGAGGTCAGGAGTTTGAGACCAGCCTGACCAATATGGTGAAACCCGACCTCTACTAAAAATACAAAAATTAGCCAGACTTGGTGGCATGCACCTGTAGTCCCAGCTACTTGGGAGGCTGAGACAGGAGAATTGCTTGAACCTGGGAGGTGCAGGTTGCAGTAAGCTGAGATCATGCCACTGCACTCCAGGCCTGCGACAGAGTGAGACTCTGTGTTAAAAGAAAAAAAAAGAAGAAGTATATAATTTTGGTCTCTTTTAAATGTGCTGGTGGCAGAGTGCCTGCTGAGTAAGAGAAAAACAGTTTGCTGAGCTTTTCCTATAAATAAATAATAGGGGATTTATTTTCATGAAGTCAGTTTTATTTCAAATAAATGTATATTGAATTATCAGTATCCTCTGGGGTTCATTACTTTAGGTATGGCATGAAAGTAGAAACTTTATATCAGGGTGCTCAACATTCTTCATGTAAATCTGCTGTGGCTTTACGAAAGGATCCTAAATTAAATGTGGAGACTTCTCCTTATCATAAAGTATAGCAAGGATCAGAGAAAATTTATTGACCCTGATGGTAGATTGGTAGACTTGCGAAATTGTTTTGGGCAGGGAGGATTAAACTAATTCGTGTTTTCTATCACAAACTGAAGCATATTTCTTGTTTTTTCTCTTACATTTTGCCTCAGGATTTTCTTTGATGATATATGAAAATAAGATTGGGAAGGTTAAAATAAGGAAAGGGGTGGGAGAATCTAAGGTTGGCAGAAGTAAATACCACTTTCCAAACAAGGATAACATACTGACTGGAGCCAAGGACAGAGCTGAGAACTGATCACGTCTCCCTCCCAAACATGTGCTCTAGGTGGCACGCTTCTTCTTTGGACACTCAAAGCTCCCTTATCCCTATGGAAATGTATCCAAGATAACCCTAAGGATTAGATTTTTACATCAGACTCTCACTAATTAGATATCTTACCAAGTATAAAGCTTTACTCATCAAGGATACGAGTAATTCCAAGGCAGAGATGACACAGGGAAAAGGGCCAGGACCACCAGGGCAGCTCCACGTCCTTTCTTGTGGCATCAGGACATGCTGTGGCCAGACTGATCTATAACGTCTGTAAATTATGTGCGTCACATTGTATGGCTTGCCTTGAAAAGAGCCATTTGCTCATTAAGGATATTCCCTTTTTACTTAGATAGTTGAATAGCTTATGTGACATCTTCCAGAGAACCATGTCTCTAAAGCCACAGATTCTAGGACTGTTTACTGTAAGAAGCCCTAGACAGACCACATTTATCCATTAAAAAGCATTTCCTAGTTAAGTCCTCTCTTGCTAGCAAGTACCATTAGGTTATTTGTCAGGAGGTCTGTCATTAACATATTTACTAGATTTGATCTGGTGAACTTCCTTCTAGGAAAGGCACCTCCACTCAACACCCATCCCTTGCCCCCTCCAGGAGAGAGTATAGTTTGCAGATCTGTTGCTTAACCATTCCTTTCCCAGTGTCCAAGTGAGCAAGATACAGTGACCCTAATAGGAAAAATGAAAAGTGAACATTCTGATTTGAGCAAAAATCATTCCAAATGGTCTTGTGATTCTCCAGATAGTTGGAAATGATCTTTTCTTCACCAGCCAGACACTATGTATCTTTTTTGGGGGTGGTGACGGTGAGTCTCCAATGAGGAAATACAAAAGAAAGGACTTGCTCCCCAGCTCCCCAGCTCCCCAGGAGGTAAAAGAAGGAGGGTATTGCCCCTGGAAGTCTCAGTGGGGGACGGAATATAGGAGACACAGGATTGATGTGGTGGATAAAGTGCCAGATTTGGATTCAGGATACCTGAATTCAGGCCCCGGCGTAGCCTCCACAGAGTTATATAACCTGAGGAAAATCACTTCATCTATCTTAATCGCACTTACCTCATCTGACAATGAAATAGTCTAGAATCCCATCTATTGGCCCAGATTAGGAATTCCTGATCCATATGATCTAAAAATAGTTTATTATTCTGGAATGTCATCAGCCTATTAAGTCTCCAACCTCAGATTGTTCCCAGTAAGATGGAAGCCAGCATTCAGGCTGTAGAGGCTTGTAAATAAAAGTGGTGTCGTGTCCGCAGTAGGCCTGCAGGGATATATAAGTGCTGTGTAGCACACTTTATCTTCCCTTTATTCTCCTCATTCTTCTCTTTAGTCTCTTTATTGGATTATACAATACTGTACCTCTCTTCTTGTGCTTTGCCGGGGTAGTCCTGCCTCTCTAAGAAGGCAGTCCAGTGACAGAGAAGGCCTCAGTTGCTGACTTATAGGTCAGTCAATTTGGGAGTTAGGTTGGATTGAGTTAGTTTGGGCTAGTTTGGGCTGAGAAAGCTCAGTGTGGGGAAAAGTAGTGGTTGAATTCTTGGAGATAACCCCTTACCCCACCTCACCTCACTTTCTTTTTAGCTCAGAGGGAACCATTACAGAGAGTGAAGCTGGTCTGTAATTTCCTTGAAGGGTTAGGTGGTGGGAGGAAGCTGGGGGAGGTGTCCCTAATTGTGTCTGGAATTTTTTTTCCCCAGGAACTTTTAACTTGCTGTGAAGAAGGGAAAGGGGAGCTCAAGGATGGCCTGGAAGTGATGCTCAGTGTCCCAAAGAAAGCCAATGATGCCATGCACGTCAGCATGCTGGAAGGTAGCTGTCCTCCCAGCACTGGGGAAGCCTCTGGTCTTCCTTAAGATGGGATGGCTTGCATCATGGGAGGGAGTGGCATGAAGTTAGACAAGGTACGAGACTGGAAGAGAGAAGAAAGGACAGCTAGTTATATAGACCCTTGTCATAGGAGAGGGGCTCCACAAGAACCAACTTGGCTAGCACCCTGCTTCCAGGAAGGACCAGGCCTAAGCCACTGGAGGTTAGGTGGACATGGGAGAGTCTAGGACAGGCCATCATTCTCACTGTTGGTGTGCGAGAGCCCCCAACCCACAGCAGTCTTCCTAGTCTGCATAGCATCTGCATTGCATTGCCTTGGTCATCACAATGAATAGAAATCCTGATCACATAAACACACATAGACACACAAAACATACCATCTTTGGCCTTATGTCCTTTTTTTCCGTTATTATGGTAAAATATGCATAATATGTATAACATTCATTTACCATTTTAACCATTTTTGAACGTACTGTTCAGTGGCATTAAATACCTTCACATCTCGTGCAACTAGCATTTTGTCCTTCTAGAAGGTTAGTAAGTCCAGCCAAAAAACTCTGATAAGACTTCAGTCAGCTGGAACTATCTTCTTAGGATGAGAAACCTATAGAGTAAGATTCCAGTAAAGTGGTCTTAACACTGCAAAATGAGTGGGCAGAGCAGACATATTGGGGCAGAATTTGTTAGATGAGTTAAGATTTAACATTTTTTGGGGGGAGGCCAAGATGGGTGGATCACTTGAGGTCAGGAGTTTGAGACCAGCCTGGCCAACATGACAAAACCCCATCTGTATTAAAAATACAAAACTTAGCCAGGCATGGTGGTACATGTCTGGAATCCCAGCTACTCAGGTGGCTCAGGTGTGAGAATCACTTGAACCCAGGAAGTGGAGGTTGCTGTGAGCCGAGATCATCCCACTGCACTCCAGCCTGGGCAATAGAGCAAGACTTCATCTCAAAAAAAAAAAAAAAAGATTTAACATTTTTAATGGGTGCTAAAGGAAATGTGTATAGTCTTGCAAGTATGCGCATGGGCTGTTTTTTTCTCTACTGGACTCCATCCTACTCTGCCAGTACCGCCAATACTCTTGATGTGGTCTCCATACTTCTGGTCCATCGTTAGCACCAGAAGCCTCAATTCTTAGAGCAAAGGAGCCCTGGTTATTTTCCCTAGACTGAGCAGGAACCATCTGAATGTATTCCTGTTGACACAGTTTCTCCACTCCTTTCCTCTCTGTTTGTACCTCCCCCTCCACCCCAACCTGGATGTCATCCTCTGCAAGTACCCAGCTCCTCCAGTCTGTCCCTGACCTATGCTCTGGATCCAGCTACTCCATGTGTGGTTTGTTTACCACCAGCAGCCACAGCACCTGGGAGCTTATCAGAAGTGCACATTTGTGGACTCACCCCACACCAACTGAATCAGAATATCTGGGGAGGTTGGGGGTGGGCAGTAATCTGTGTTTTCACAAGCCCTCCAGGTGATTCTTATGCACACTAACATTTGAGAGCCTCTCTTAAAAACTTAAAGTGGTGTAAATATAAACTGTTAAATGCTTGTGCAAAGGGAGGAATTCTAGAAATGGAATATAAGAATTAAGGCGGGCCAGGCACAGTGGCTCATGCCTGTAATCCTAACACTTTGGGAGGCCAAGGTGGGAGGATCACTTGAGCCCAAGACCAGCCTGGGAAACATAGGGAGACTTTTTCTCTACCAAAACTACAAAAATTAGCTGAACATGGTAGCACGTATGTATAGACCAACGAGGTGGGAGGCTAAGGTAGGAGGATCACTTGAACCTGGGAGTTCAAGGCTGCAGTCAGCCATGATCATGCCACTGCACTTTAGCTGGGCAACAGAGCAAGACTTTGTCTCCAAAAAAAAAAAAAAAAGAATTAAGGTAATGACAAATAAAGAGGAGCTGAAGACAGTCAGGCAGTGTTTGTCTTCAGCCCCACTCATAGCTGCAAGTCAGGAACAGTAGAAAGCTATGGAGGACAAAGGAGCTATGGGATCTGCCCTTACAGGAAGCCAACAGTGAGTGTGTGAGGATGTGAGGTTGCATAGGACATTTGCGGGAGATTCCATGAACATTAGTTATGTATATTAAAGTCATGGTGTAGGAATTGGGCAGGAGAGATCTAATTGCAGTTCTCAGAGATGTCTATGGAAGTGTTCCGGAGTCTCTGGAGTTAGCAGAGAGAAACCCTGTAGGAACTGAGGATTAAAAGTAAGAGAGGCCTTTCTCCAAAAGGGGAGTGTAACATCGTCCCTGGCTGGCAGTAGAGAAACTCCACAGGGTGGAAATGGGTGTTTTTCAGGGTTCGACGAGAACCTGGACGTGCAAGGGGAGTTGATTCTTCAGGATGCCTTTCAAGTGTGGGACCCAAAGTCGCTGATCCGGAAGGGGCGGGAGCGGCACTTGTTCCTCTTTGAGATCTCCTTGGTTTTTAGCAAGGAGATCAAAGACTCTACAGGACACACGAAATATGTTTACAAGAACAAGCTACTGGTAGGTGGGGCAGGTGGGGTAAGACAAGACTCCCTGCTTTCATAGAACCCATGGGCAGGAAGGGATCTGGACACACTCATCTCATCTCCTCCCTGCCCTCCACACCAAGACCATCCTGGACAAATGAAAATCCCTCCTATTTGGAAAGCATCCCCCCCTCACCTCCCACGTCTGCATTTTAGAGTTCACAGTTCTTTCTGTTTGCTTTTAGCACCTCCCTCTTCACCTTCCCTCCCTGGTACCTGCTAATCAGGCACGTGCCTGTAGGTCCTTCCATCCTGGGTAGATGAACAGAATATCCAATCTGTTAAAGTTTGATTGACAGAAGCCCCTCCCTCGGTCCTCTCCTCTTTGTTGCCTTTCCCTTCCCACCCCAGCCCTAAGTTTCCCCACTGCCCTCCCCTTCCCCGCCTCTCACAGGCATTTCCTGTCTACAGACCTCAGAGCTGGGTGTGACCGAGCACGTGGAGGGCGACCCCTGCAAATTTGCCTTGTGGTCTGGGCGCACCCCATCCTCAGACAATAAAACAGTGCTGAAAGTAAGTACTGCTCTCTGCTAGGCACAAGACCAGGGTTGGAGGTAGTAGAAGGTGGGGGATGGGCAATTGACACCTGAAAGTTAAGGCCCAGAGACTCTACTGAGCCATGGGCCTCTCTTGGGAATGGCAGCATCCCATGAGTATTGAGAAACAAATTCTGTCATGAAGGCCAGAATCTCAAAGACGCATGGTCTCCTCAAGTGCATGCGCATGTATGATCAAGAGGGAAGAGAGCAGGGAGTGGCCTGCAGGGCCACCTCAGCAAGGCCCACTTAAACTGTGCTATGTCCATGTCTTCCTTCAGATAGCAAAAAACAATTGACCCTTTGACAAAAGTCACCTTGATTTGCTCCACATTAATTTGACATTTTTTCCTAAATAGCTTCTGTATAAAAGGTATAGTGCCTAGTGTGGTAGGGGATAACTGTACAGGATATGGGCCTTATTCCCTGGGAACCTACATTCTTAAACCTCTAGTAAATCACATTAGCATGGGGACCATAATGATGGAGAGAAATGTCAAGAGGGGCCTTTCACCAGAGGACGGCCTTGAGTCATTGCAGCTCTCTGGGTCATTGCTGCAGTGATGGTAACATGGCTGAGCAGCGATCATGCAGATAATGGAGCTCCCAGCAGTCATTTACTTGTCAGGAAAGTGCCCATCACCAAGGAGAAGATGGTCCAGCCCTGACAAAATCTTCACACTTGTTCACTCCGAATTGCCAGCATAGCTGCTACCTGTTGTGAGGCAGAATTACCAGAAAAAATTCTACCGAGACAAATGGGATCATCATAAAATGATAGCAGTGCCTTCAATTAACAGAGTTAGCTTGCCACAAACCCAGGGTTGACTTCTAGTCAGTACAAGTTTGTGTGTCCATGCTAGGTGAACATCCTGACGTATATCCATACTGATTGGGAAGTAGATACTGCCTCTCCCAGTGCCCGCTAGAACTTCCCAGGATCTAGCAACCCAAGTGTTAATCCCTGTCCCGGGGGAACCTCCAGATACTGGTCCAGCTCCAGGGCAGATATCAGGATTGGTCAGTGCTTTCTGGGTTATGAAATACTTTGACAGTTACTCCCATACAAGTAATTCTGCATTGAGTCTTGAGGTCAGAGCACTGCCTTGGGAGTTGAAGAAGCCTGTTTCTAGTATTGAAAAGTCATAAGTATGAAATGAAAAACTCCCTAAACATTTGGAATCCTTGAAAATAATGGATGAGAACTGTAGGTGGAGGGTTGAGAACTGTTTTTGGCAAGATAATGGGAGTTGGGGTTCTCAGTCTTTCTCCCTGTGGCACTCCAGGCCTCCAACATTGAAACCAAGCAGGAGTGGATCAAGAACATTCGAGAAGTGATTCAAGAAAGGATCATTCACCTGAAAGGAGCTTTAAAGGAGCCACTTCAGCTCCCCAAAACACCAGCCAAACAGAGGAACAATAGTAAGAGGTAACCAGCGCCTCTCCCTCCAGCACTGCCTGCCTCCCAGGCTTCTGGGTGCGGGAATGGGATGAATCTTTGCTTCTGGAGGGGCATGTGCCCTGCAGGTGGCATTCTCCAGGAAGGCCTGTGAGTTCCACCTAGGATGAGTCATCTCATCTTTAAGCATCTCACCAATGTCAAATTCAGCAGGGCTTCATTGAGCACCTCTTATTTAACAAACCCTCTGCTAGGTGCTGCAAGATAAAAGGAAGTGTAAGATGAGTCAGTTCCCTTAAGAGCCATCTAATAGTCATGTCTCACAAATGAAATAGACCAGAACCACCTATAGGGATTATAAATTCTATAAGAATTCAAAGAAAGGGAACTTGAGATGAGCCCTAGAGTGGGGTATCTCTCTGGGCTGGCTAGATATTAGATAGTGAAAGGGTTTTGTGTGCTGTAATGTGTGGGGTGGTGGTTTCATTGCAGCTCTTACTGCAACCCCCCCCAGAGACCTCACCTTCACTCACCTGTGATAAGCAATGTCATTGGGCAGAAAAGGACATATTTCTTATATCTTTCTGGACCCTTCTGAATCCCAGTTTCCTCTAAACCCGTGGATGACTTCTTAAGTATTTCTTTCCCAAGTCTCCATGTGACACCTACACTTATAAGTCTTTTGGGGGACACTTCCGAAGAAAGCATACAAAAACTTCACATAAATTTTGAAGAAAAAAAAAGCCCAGGGTTCTAGCAGAGATGGTCATTGGTGGTAACAGGTTCTTCCCTCCTCCCCTGTACATGAATGGAATAAATCTGGAAGATTTAGTTCACCCTTAGACACCAACCAGGACAAGCAGGGTAGGGAGCCATTTAAGGGCCTATGAAGCAGCAGCAGTCCTGAGCAAGGTGGTAGCCAAAAGAAGGGTGTGACTATGGTAGAGAAACTTCCACAGGACAGAAGCCTCAAGACCTACATGACCAGGATAAGGTTACCTCCTCAGTGTTGCAAGGGCGAATTATTACTATTCTGGGGGAGGGGTCATTTTGACTTCAGTTGTCTATGTCCAGAGTCCAGGTAAGGAGCGGGTGGACTAAAGTCTGGCAGTGGAGACAGGTCATGCTTCAGGGAATCCCTACTTTAATAAAGCAGTTAGAAAGGAAACAGTTATAAAGAAATTATGGTCTAGGACCATAGAGAGGATACTCAGGTGAGGCTCTCTAGGGTTACTTACCCGGCAATAGCCTCTTTTTCCTATAGTAGGAGAGTTTGTGCATTTCTAGAACATGGAAAATGCATATCTTGGAAATGCCCTTTTCTCTTCTCTCACCTTTTCTCCTGTCCTATGATGGGTGGGTGAGAAACCTTGGCATACTCTTCAGAGAATAGCCAGGCAATCTTTAATTACAGTAGCTTAGGTTCCTGGATATGGAGACAGTTTATAGAGGAGTGCATTGGTTGGGGAATACTACCTACACTCCTAGGGGGGCTCCCCACCTCCCCCAGAAGTGGCTACATCTGGGGTAGACCAGAAGGGCCCACAATAGGCCATACTAGTGGGAAGCAGAAAGTACAGCCAGCTCTCAACTGTCTACACATGGTGGGAGCGCTCACCCAGATAATCCAAAACAACAGATGATCTAAAAGTCCTTTATTTTTGGTTTTGAAATGCGTCACATAAATTCCTTTTACAGCAGATTTTCCTTCCTACGAATGTGTGGCTTATGTTATTAAAATAAATTGGCATTTCCTAGGCTCACAAATGATGGTGAGAGAGCAGTTGACTTAGAATGTTCTGGGTGGGTAAAAATACTTTTTTATGATGAATAGATGTTGTGTGTATACATGTGCACATACGTGGGTGTTTGCATGCACACGTATCTACATACACTCACACATACACCAGAGCATAATCATTTAGACCCTTTGAGGTGAATTCATTATTTGTGTCACTTTGTTCATGTGGTAGGATTCTCAGGCTGTCAGTTTCCTTGTCCCCTGAAGCCATTAGTTCTCCACAGACATCATCAGGGTGTCTTCTGTAAAAGCACCCATGGGAAGAGCTGTCATTTCCTGTGCTAATTCACCCAACCCCAACCCTACATTGCCACCAGCTTTTCCAGGCACAGACATTGCAGCCTTCATTAGTTTCCAGGCATCCAGTCCTTCTTGGCCATGGCTGTGGGCTCGGTATAGGATGGGGGCACAGTTCTACAGCTGGAGAGCTAAAAGAACATGGGAGTGGGACAGCTGTATGGTACAGGGCCCAGCAAGGGGTCTAAATGCCAGGAGTGCACTCAGGAGACTCTTAGCTGAGACTCAGAAGCACAGCTGGCTCCAAAGCTGCTGTGGAACCTGTGTCTGTTCTCCAGTCTTTGAGAAAATGCCTTGGCCTTCTGTATTGATAAGAAATCATTATAAATATGCATGAGATCTTCAAAACTCACCCAGAGGAAGGCAATAAATTCCTCCTCCACACCCAGGAGTTGAGGGTCCAATATCAGGAATTTCCCAATGATAATATTCCCTGGAGACAATATTCCACTCAATCTGTTTTCTTGAACAGAAGAAACACAAGTTTAAAAGAAATCTTGGCTAGGTACAATGGCACACACCTGTAACCCCAGCACTTTGGGAGGCCAAGGCAGGTGGATTACCTGAGGTCAGGAGTTTGAGACCACCCTGGCCAACACGGTGAAACCCATCTCCACAAAAAAATACAAAAATTAGCCAGGCACGATGGCAGGTGCCTGGAATCCTAAGTACTTGGGAGGAGCAGGCAGGAGAATTGCTTAAACCTGGAAGGCAAAGGTTGCAGTGAGACAAGATCACGCCACTGCACTCCAGCCTAGGTGACAGAATGAGACTCTGTTCAAAAAATAAAAATAAAAAAAAGAAATCTTATCACTTCTGTTTTCTTTGTAGGCCAGCTGTAAATGAACCCTCATCCTAATTACAGTCTGTACAAAAACTTGAATACCCTGAACTTGTAATTATTGAAAACTACCTAATCACCTGGTTAGATGCCTAGGCTCTAAGTAGGATATATATCTTCCTACTGCCTGTTACAGACCCATTCCCAGTAATATAAATACACACACACACACACACACACACACACACACACACATTTCTTTTTTCACATATACACACACCCCTTCTGCAGCATAGGCTGGAGAAGTTTTGGGGAAGAGGGTCATTTTGCATTTAGTTATCAACATAGTGATTATGTGTTTACTAAGTGCAAGAAGTGACATCACTGAAAATCACATAGGGCCATTCTCTTTAGCAGGATAATTTTAGACAAATCCCTGCTAGAAAGTACTAAGGCGCTGCTCTGCCCACCCAGCTGGAAATCCTTGTGCGCTCTAAACCCACAGTGGTTCCCCCCACCCCCACCCCTGTTTTTTTTCTCTTCTTCCTGCAGGGATGGAGTGGAGGATATTGACAGCCAGGGGGATGGGAGCAGCCAACCAGACACCATCTCCATTGCTTCTAGGACCTCTCAGAACACAGTGGACAGTGACAAGGTAGGACAAAGTCCTAACCTTCCTTCCCCTGAGACTTCTTGTTGGCTCAACCACCCCTGGAGAGGTACCCCTAGAGAATTTCTCTCACTATGGATCCTACCTTCAGGAGACAGTTGTCTCTTTGTGCCATTCAAGAGGGAAAGAACAGGGCTGGAGGAGGTATGTCCCAGCATGAGATCTGATCTGAGGGGATGGAAGACTGCGGTGGTTGAGGCTGACTTCTCACATTGGGAAAGTTTAACAGAAGTAGAAAGGCTGAGTAGTAGAGGAGTCTAGGTTTCTTCTCTTTCTGAGATGTCCCACCTGGGCTTCTTGGGCTGTTATGCCTTCTTGGAGGATGGATCGCAGGGAGGTTAAGTTGGAATAGTGTCCTGAGACCTTAGTGGCTATGGTTGGCTCAACTTACAATGATTTAAAAAGAGCTCATCTCAAAGTTAGGCCAAAATTAATGGTTTGGGAAATGGCCACAGAGATGCTGCTTGGCATCAGTCTCTGATGGAAATGATGCTTTCCTCTGGCCAGATTACGGGGGCTCAGTTGCTGAGAGACAGGAGGACCAGACAGTTGTATATGAAGGATGTAGTTGTTGTGTAAGAAAGCCTGGCCACTTGCTTTCTAACATTTTGTAGCAAGTAAGCAAAAGTTAGTAGCTCTGATGGGAAAGCAAAAGACAAGAAACTGTAGCAAAGGTTCTGCTTATTTGTCCCAGCTAGTTGAGGAATGCAACCGCCGGAATTTGTAGCAGAGGGAAGAAAGGGTCCATGTCTGAGCCTACTCTCCTTTGCTTACTCCAGAATCCAAAGAGTATGAGATGATCTTTTGCTGCATATTAGTGATATTATTAATTAAGTTCTGGTTTTCCAAAGATTATTTGTCCCTAGTTTATCCAGACCTAGTATTTTGGCCTGCTCCTTCAGGTTCAGATAGCTGGCTGTGTCATTGCTTCCTTTTAGTTTTCTAAGTTATAGGTATGTCTTTTAAAGATGATCTGCATTCATTAGGATTTTTTCTATTTTTTCTTGCTAGGAGAAAACAAAAAAAAAACATTGAGACCTTAGTGTGGGGACTGTGCCCCTAACTTGCTGAAATGATGGTGCCAAATCACCCTAATCATGCTTTAGACTAGTGCTTAAGGTTATTTAGAGGTAGTTCCTACAACTGCCCTCAAGTTTTTAAGCCATTTTCTACTGACTATCGGAGTGGATAAAAAATTAGTTTTCTTTTCCACTTGTAAAAACATACAAACAGAAAACATTTCTGTAATTTTCTGTCTCCTCTGACCTGTTGTCTAGAAATATAACCTAGTGTTCCTAGTGTGTAAAACGTGTTCGTTCCTCTTTAAATAGTCAGTGGGTGGTAAGTCAAGTGCAGTGTTTCCCGTGTTCAGACATGGACTCTTAGTGTCATGGTCCAGGGAATTCATCCCTTCCAGGTGCCAATCCGTCTTCCCAGCAGCTGACTTTGACACAGACCCCTGTGCTAGAGACATTTGTTTAAGGAGGACCTCAGCTCCAGCTATTCCTTGTCTTTCTGGCAAGGTAGGTAAACCTGGGCTAGCCATTTTACTATTAATGAGGGGTCCTGGTACTTAGAATTTATTCTGCAAGTAAGGAAGCAGGCTCAGAGAAACTAAGTGACTTACCCAAGAAAATTCTAGTAGTTAGTGGAAAGGCAGGAACTAGAACACAGATCTGATTTTTCATGTTTTCCCCCACTCTGAAAGTCAAAGCATTGAGTTCTTGATGCTAGGATGAACTCAGCTGGTCAGTTTTTCTGCATATGTCACAGAAACACTCACATATCCATGTAGAAGCACCTATCATGTGCCAAGCTCTGTGCTGGATGCTGTAGAGAGATGTGGACTATTTGTTGAGTGTGAATCTCTGCTTGTATAATTTTCTGTTTCATGTCTGTCTCTAGAGCCGGGTCATTGAGCCTTAATGAAGGCAACTGCTGTGTCTGTCTGTTTCATTGCCATACTCCTGACACACAGCACACAGGGGCTCAGGAGATACTTGTGAAATGGATAAATAGAGGGGACAAAGTGACTGGTCTCAGGAAACTCCAGGATTAAGAGGCAGCTGAAACCAGGTCTGAAAACAAATAGAGATATGAATATTTTATTTTTACAAATGCTAAAGAAAGATTAAATCCCAACTACCTTCTCTGGCCTTAGGAGACATGATGAACAGAAGTTCAGAAGAGTCTATGTTCTGTCTATACACAAAACCTAGAAAGTTCCTTAGACTTAGTCACACTTTAAAATAAGGGAAGATCAGTCTAGGACTATGCACTGTAATTTAAATGTTCTTACTCTTCTAACACGAAACAGTGACGACAGGACAGCCATGTGTCTTCTATGACTGCACTTTCCTTCATCTGTGAAATCACTCATTTGGTATGTTTGAATTTGTAGATGTTATCAGCAGTGTCAGGTTTTCCCCTAACTATACTAGATGGCCAGGGAACCCTGGTTCCTAAATGGTCAGGTAAACAGTCTCTGAAAAAGCAGAAGATAACAAAATGGACTGATTCACGTAAACTGACTCATTCAACAGAAAGGCAAAGAAAGGCGGCTGTGGGAGGGAAGGGAGAGGAGACATCTCACCCAATTCAGACTCATGTAACAATAGACTTTTAGAAGAGTACTTCAGTCTTCCTCTTACAATCCAGAGGAATGACAGTAATAGTTTCCCTTTCTGGCCAAGTAGATAAGGAATGCATAACCATTAAGGGGCCATGACACACCAACTTGAGGAGCTGTGGCAGCTCCAGGGTCTCCTGCAACCACTCCATGTGTGTTATGTATGCTGTGGTGTGGTGGAAGGAGTTCAATATACCTAGGTTCAAATCCCAGCTCTGACACTATTTGTGATTGGATAGGTTACTGCACCTTTGTTTTTCTCTAAAGCAAAGATAATAATACTTATCTCACTGAGTTATTGGAAAGATTATGTAAAATATTTGCTTGATAACCATTAGACATTCAGTAAATGTTAATTCCCACTCTTACTAGAGGGGAAGCAAAGGTTTATATTCTATGAATAAGAGCGCACAATTATTTAGCAGACTGTGAAGATCTTTAAAAATACTTGAGTTAGTTCTGCCCTGTGGTTTTATTAACTGTCAACAGGTTCTTCTCTGTACTAGACCTAAAGTGATGTAACTTCAACTGTCTATTAAAAAGAACTTTACTCTCTTTTCCATCTGCTAGCCCTTAGAATTTAGATATTTGCTGTTAGCATTGGCTCATGGGTTATTTTATTATTTAATTAGTTATAGTATATTACTATCAGGTATTAATTCTAACGCTCAAATTGTACCACATTTTGCCAGTGGCAGCCCGTAAGGCTTTACGCGTTGAAAGATGCTTGTCACATCTTTTCTCCAAATCATCTGTTTAGAAGTCCTCAGTTTCTGTGGCTGTTTCTCATATTTGTATATTTTTCAGATGCTTACACATCCTGGTTACCTTCACCTAGATTTACTCTAGTATGTAATGTCTATATAAAATGAGTTTTATAAATACATTTAAATATAAATACATCTAAAAGGTACATAATACTACAGATATATTCTAACTAATGTAAACATGGCTCCTTGTTCTAGGTCTAGCTGCTATGTGCAGATCATTCCTAAAAGGATGCACCATGTTTAGCATGTGTGTCCAGTGCTGGCTCATAAAATCTCCATGCCCTTTTTTATAGACTGCTCTTATTCGGGCAGGTGACTTAGTAACCTGAATGTAGGACTGCTTTATGTCTATTAGATTTTCCCTTATTTAGTTCCATCTCAGCGTTCTAGCAGGTACTGAATACAAGTTATCTTGTCTAGTGTGTTAGCCATATCTGTCTCCATTATTGGATAAATGCATCTTCTGTAGCTTCATCCAGGTTCTTGTTAAAAAGACAAGATTGGGAACAGAAGACTAATGCCCAACACTCCTCCTCCTTTTCTCACCTAGGGTCTGTAACTTGGAAACCTCCTTGTCTGACTTTTCTATAACATCCCCAGGGAAGGAAATCCAACCACTTTTCCCTATAGGAGAGAAGCTGAACTGTTTTCTTATGCTGTAAATCCTCTCTTGATGAGAAAACAGTGTAATATTCTTAATCCTACATTAACACTGACAACACGATTTGGATGCCTTAAAATGGCAATAGTAGCTTTCCCAGGGTTGCTTTTGTTCAACACTTAAATGGGTCTATATAATTAGATTCTACCTTACACCTGTCTAATGCAAAAGCGGTCGTGCCCTAAGGGGCAAACAGGTGTGCTTACTTTGTTCCATGGTGGTCTGAGCCCCTCCCTATTCTGTACAGGAGTCAGTTCACACTTTTCTGAACAGGTCATTCTACTGTAAAGTCTTTTGACTATATGTGTGTTACTAAATCTTGGGGCTTTGCAGTCACACTTAGAAGAAATCTAGAATTATAGAATTCTAGTTGAGCAGGGCTGAGTAATGAGGTGACAGCCAAATATCTTGTTGTTTAACATGATGGATATCTTCTGAATCATTTCCAGCTAATGGTAGAAAAGCAATCATCTGCACTGTAATAGTTCCAGTACATACATTTTCCATTTAGCCTAGGCATGCTGGAAACATAAAATAAATGCTTACTTACTGAATGGAACATTACAAGCCTATCCTAGAACGGATACTCTCCATCCAAAAATCACTATAAATTTCCAGACATGTCCAGGTTGGCTGGAGAGTGGGAAATTGAAGTGAAATTGACTTTCTGGTACTCTTCTCTGAAAAAATTTTAAGTGAAGGAATGCTGCTGAAACCTCTCAAACTGGTGTGTGGTTTGAAGAGGAACTTCAGTAACAAGCTAATGTGAGCTGAGGTGCAATGTGGGCTAATAATAGTGATATGCTAAAGAAGAACGGGGAAATACCTGGAAACCCTGGATGTTTTCAAAGATAACCCAGTGGTCTTTAAACCCTGAATTATCATATCAATGCAGTGGCTCATGACCAAGGTTTTGTTTTACCAG